CGAGTAAGCCAGATCTAGAACAACACACCCCAGGATTCAGACCTAGAATAACATAGCCTCATGCCGGATCCCTAGTAGGAACGTTTGTTTGCATCACGTGCATTTGACTTTAGGGACTCAACATAGGGGTTGGATCCGTCTATGACAGGTGTATCCAAAATAAAAGACCATCCTGATGCATCTTACGTGCTACTTGTACATTTATTTGTTCTAGTTTGTATGTTGGCTGGCTTTTAGAATAGGGAAAGAAACTGGAAAAAAAACCAAGAGAGGGAAAATAAAAGAGTGAAATTCACCTGGTTCTCATAAAATCTCTGTGTTCAAAAAATTAAACTGTGTCTGATATCACTCAAAAGGTGTTAAAAAATAGACTAAGATTTTGAAATATTCCCCGCTTTTGACCGAACTACGGGGTCTAATTCTCACCGGATGCGAGATACGTAGGCAAACCTCATCTGTTCCGGCCCCAATTTTTTTAAAAAATCCAAAAATATTTGCCTTTAATTCTTCTTTAGAAGTCTTTCCTTAAAATATAAATAAAAATTTTAAACCCAAAAATATTTTCTTTGTAGAAGTCTTTCTTTCAAAAAAAAAATCAAAATCCAAAATTTTTTCCTTGTTAGGAGCTTTTGTGATATGATTTTCATTAAAAAAATGTTGAATAATTTTTTTTAAAAAGAAGTTAGCTCATTACTTTATTCCTGATCTTCCTGAACTACGTAATGATCTGATTCATGCGGCGTCATGATACGTAGGCAATCCCCATCGGATTCAATCATAGCCATTAAATAAATTGGGTGAAAAAAGAAAGAAAAAAAGAGAGAGAGAACAGGGAAAAATAAAGAAAAGAGTGACAAAAATAACAAAGAAAAACAGAGAGCGAAAAACAACCAAAAAAAAAAAGGAAAAGCAACTGTGAAATAATTCAAAAAAAAAAGAGAGCCAAGAACTGATATGATAGAGGTATAGAATGGAAAGGGACATTAAAAGGCCGGGATGAAACACGCAACCGTTCAAACACATGGTAGAAGCATTTAACTATTTAGGTGCATTGCATCCTAACATGCAATTTCCTATCTATTAAGCGTCTCAAAACTAACAAGGTTGTTGGTTGTGCAAATTAGCCAGGTTCTGTTCAGGTGGTTGGTTTTGTTGGTAATCTGGCTTCCCACCCTTACTTCACAAGATCCAAAGGCAGGGTTCCTATGGCCTTCGAAAGTCATCTACCAATTATCGATCCTGAGGATAGCCCAGCATCGCCTATTCCACAACCAGAATCAGCAACTACTGAAGAGAATAGAATGTTGCGTCTCCGCATGTTAGAAATGTGGGACGCCTGGTCTAATAGTAGGGAACCGCCAAGTGCAATCCCTGGGTTCCCTGAGTTGATCTCGAGGTCGGGTGGGGCTATCAACGGCCCTGTGCCCAACCTGTTCATCCCGTGCGGATATAAACGGTCCTGGCATGCCTTCTGTGGTTCACCCCCAGGCGCCTGATTCAAGGGCACCGCCAGCAATGTTTTCTACAGCACCAGTCTGCACCACGACTCAACCAACTATACCACGGCCACATGTTGAGCCTCCAACATTCACCTTTCAGGGTCCATAGTTTCAACCAGAAATAACATATGTGACCCCATATTCATTTTCTCAACCTCCGCAATGTGACTTCTTGGTTGGACAAGAAAAGGTTGTCAAGAATCCCGAGCAAGAGGAAATGGGTCGGAAGATGAAGAGCCTGGAACAAAGCCTGAAAAACATGCAAGGTTTGAGTGGCCAAAAGAGTGTCTCACACTCCGATCTGTGTATGTTTCCCTATGTTCACTTGCCGACTGGCTTCAAGATGCCAAAATTTGAAAAATACGACTGGCACGGAGACCCTATCGCTCACCTGAAATAATACTGTAACCAGCTGAGGGGCACTGGTGGAAATGAGGAGCTGTTAATGGCTTATTTTGGAGAAAATCTCATCGAAATTGCTTCCGAGTGGTACATCGATCAAGAAATAACTCATTGGCATGTGTGGGAAGATTTGGCCCGAGATTTTGTCTGCTTGTTCCAGTATAATGTGGATATCGCTCCCAACAGAAACTCTCTGTCCAATTTGAAAAAGAAAATAGCAGAAAGCTTCCGTGAATATGCTGTCAAATGGCGCGAGCAAGCCGCCAGGGTAAAACCTCTAATAGGTGAAGCTGAAATGGTTACGGTCTTCCTACAAGCCCAAGAGGCGGACTACTTCCAAAACATGATGTCTACTATGGGTAGACCGTTCGTTGAGGCTATCAAAATTGGGAAGATGGTCGAAAATGGTTTGAAAACAGGCCGAATCTTGAGTCAAGCTGCTTTTAAGGCTGCATCATAGGTCGTTTAGAATAGTTCAGGGGGTTTGATGAACAGAAACGGGAGAGAAGAGGGAGTCATGATGGCTTCTAGCTCGAAGAGGGCCCGCAGGTCATTCAACCAATCATATATGCTTCATAAGGTCCCACAACACTATTATCCCCATCAAGATGCTGCTTATGCCGTGGCACAGCCTCCCTATGCTGTGATGAACGCGCAACCTTACACGTGGCCACAACATTATACACAAAACCGAGCTCCACCTCCCAGAAATGCCCATCCTTACCAAGCTCCGTATAATCCCCAACCAAATGTTCCCCAATACAATCCTCGCCCAAGTGAGCCCCTCAGAAGGAATAAATTCACCCATATTGGTGAATCGTATTCAAGCTTGTTCCAAAGGCTAATCAGGCTAGGTCTGTTGCAGCCAGTGGCCCCGAACCGGCCGAACCCCGAGTCCCCCTCGCACCTGGCTGATACTAGATGTGAATACCACTCTGGAGCAGTGGGACATAGTACGGAGGACTGTTGGACCCTCAAGGGGGCAGTTGAAGACTTGATTGTAGCTGAAATAATCGTTTTTCGGGACAAAGAGGCTCCTGATGTGACGAATAATCCTCTGCCTACTCATACCAATGGGCCAGTAGTCGGAATGATTTGTGAAGATGAGGAATTTGATCCGGCACTGAAGGCCATGCAAGTATTGCCGAGCTAGAAGAAAAGCCAAAAAACGATCGCCAAGCCTGAAAGTTCCCTATCAGACGGGAGTCTCGGTAGCCAGTCTTGCTATCCTTTCTGCGTTCGGATTATCTCAGGGTGCGATCCGGATATTTTACTTTATTGTCTTACTTTCCGACGTAAACCCTTCTATCTTTAAAATTCAAAAAGAAAAATCAAATGAAATTAATATTTCATTGTCCAAGAATGTCTTTTTTCTTAATCTTGCCACTTTTCTTATTCTCTTTTCAGTACTGTTAATGCAGATTTTAATGACATGATATGCTTGCGGACTTCATGCCCAGATCCTAAAACGCTGTCAGATTTCGAAATAATGAATCAAGAATCAGAATGAAATGAAGATTAATTTAAAGAAATAAATAAAGACTCGGAACAACTAAAGAAAAATTGGCTCCAGACTGGAAAGGTCCATACATTATAACGAGAGTACTGCCAAAAGATAGCGTGGTACCTGGAAAAACATCGAAGGAAATGTCCCTGAAACAACTGTCAACGCGGGTGCAGTCAAAAGGTACTATGTTTGATCTTCTATATAGCATTAATATTCTCCGGTTGGGATGAAGAAGGCTTTCTTTCTCACTATCCAAATACTATCCACCTTTTGCAAACCCTTTGAGCCGGTTACCCTTTCTTTGATTACCCTCTTTTAGGGCTGTGCACGGATCGGATCGGATCGGATCGGATTTAGCATATTTCGGATTCGAATTTCGGATTTCGGATTCTAAAAAGGGCAATCCGAATCCGATCCGAATTAACATTGGATCGGATCGGATTTTAAACTTTGGATCGGATAATTTTTTGGATTGTCGGATCGGATTGTCACTCACTGGAGTACTTGTTCGAAGTACATAAACAGATGCTGGCAATCACTTTCCAAATACAAATTGAGCAATCACTTTCCATATACTTGTTCGAACTTAACAATGTTCAATATACACACATATGAAAGGAGATTAACATCATTTGCTGCATACTTGCAAGTTGCAACTTACAACATTTAGGACACTATTGTCCAATTCAACATTTCAGTTTCTTTACTTATTGCACAAAGAGAGGCATGGATCTGAAACATACGATATTACACATTACAGAATCAAAGAGCATTTTCAGAATGCAAACAAAACTCCATTCATCTCCAGTTCTCCACACAAATATTACTGGACAGTAAACACCATTCATCTCCAAACAAAACCACAATCTGAAATATTACATAATGCAGCAATTGTCTTTCAAAGTTTTAAACCAAACCAAACTGAAGACCCCAAATAAAACACAATCAATTGTCTTTCAAATCATACTGTCATAGCAAAATAAAACAAACCAAACTACTAAAGTCCCAACAGTTCTTTAACAGATTACACAAAATAAAAGAGTTCCACGTTCCAACTTTTGGGAAGCCGCAACAGTCAACACAATCCAGCAACACAACCAGCAACCAGGCCAAATGTAGCTCTCAATCTCAGATTCTCAGTAGGACTGTGAGACAAGTTAAAAATCTGCAATTTCAAACAATTCAAAGAGCATTTTCAGAGAAAGAAAAAGACAGCTCAAAGAATTTGAACATCAGTAGTTTGGGCAAAACAGAGTATAACAAGTTTGTTGTAGTACTGCTCATTACAGAATAACAATATAGTACTGCTCGTTAATTTGTTGGTTTCAGTTTTACATTGAATTTGTTAATAATAAACTGTAAAGGATGGGAAATCACAAGAAATACCTGAGCTTGTACAACAAATGGGAAATCACTATATGTCGACAATGCAAGGCTCTCTTCCCGTATTCATAAATTTTGTATAATAAGATAGTAACACAAGAAATTAGTTTAGAAGTAATCTAAATAAACATACAAATAAAGTATACATTTACATTAAACACAAGTAATAAGATAGGCTTACCAGCTTCAAGTTGTTCAAGATTATCTAAATCTTCTTCAATTTTAACCGGAGTTGTTGATTCATTCCGAAGCCAATCTTGGACACACACAAGAGCTTGAACCAATCTAGGAGTCAATGAACTCCTAAATGGATCAAGTATGCGTCCGCCGGTGCTAAAGGCTGATTCTGAGGCAACACTAGAAATCGGAATGGCTAGCACATCACGTGCCATCTCAGCAAGAGTGGGAAATCTTGGTGAGTTCAACTTCCACCACCCCAGAATGTTAAACTTTTCATGATCTTCCTCAACATCTTCACCCAAATATTTATCTAACTCCGTTTTAGAATCAACTCCGCCACATTTCTTATGCTTCTTTAAATCTAGCATGAATTTTGAGAGCAATGATGAAGAAGATGGAGAAGATGGACCAGAAGATGGAGAAGATGGAGAAGATGGACATGAACCAGAACCACCATTTTTCATTGCATACACATTAAACAAAGTATCCATGTATGTTTTCACATCCTCTTGTATTTTCAAACCTACTGTTTCTCCAAACATAGCACTAAGCGCAAATGAAAGAGTATTAAACTTATGGCGTGGATCAAGCACACATGAGATAAAAATCATTTTGTTCATCTTATGTGGATCCCCCCAATACTTGTCAAATTTCTCTTTCATATTCTTTGCCATTTCTCTCAAGAAAGCATCTTCATTTTGCATCAACTCTTTCAAAGAAGAATCAACAACACATATTTCAAGAAAGTGCACATTAGACGTAATATAAAGTGTACCTGATACTTTCAAGGTGAGTTCATAAAAAATTTCCAGAAACTTCACAATACGTCTTACACTATCCCAATCACTACTTAAAAGTGGACCTGTAGGTTGTCCATCCTCACAAATGCAGTTAGAAATACATGACATCAAACCATAATCAATATCACAATACTTTGTAATGGCTTCCTCATAAACTGTAGCAACCTTCAACATCAAATATGTGGAGTTCCACCTAGTAGGAACACCCAAGCACAATGATTTTTTAGAAGTTATCCTATCAAGATCACAACATTCTTTAAACTTTTTCCATCTTGCGGGAGATTGTCTTATGTACCTAACAGCTTGTCTTATTCGTTCAACAGACACACTCCCATCTCTCAACCCATCTTGAACAACTAGATTGATGATGTGAGCCATACATCTCACATGAACATGCTTACCTTCCATCAAGTTAGTGTTCCATCTAGTAAATTGCTTGGATAACTCTCTAACCATCACATCATTAGAACTCGCATTATCAACTGTCACAGTAAATACTTTATCCACTCCCCATTCAAGTAAACACTTAGCAATACCACTAGCTAAATCTTGACCTTTATGACTAGTAATTGGACAAAAATTCAGAATCCTTTTATGCAATTTCCAATTATTGTCAATGTAATGGGCTGTAACACACATATAATTAATTCTTTGAATTGAAGTCCATGTATCAGTAGTAATGCATATTCTCTGTTTTGATTCATTAAGAATATACTTCAAAGCAAGTCTCTCTTCATGGTACATCTCAAGACAATCCCTAGTCATAGTAGTACGAGATGGAATATGAAATAAAGGTTGAAGAGTTCTCACAAAGCCTCTAAATCCATCTTTTTCAACAGAAATAAAGGGAAGTTCATCTTTAATAATCATACGAGCTAAAGCCCTCCTACATGCCTCTTGATCAAATTTCCAAGGGATAACTGAAACATCACCTGTTAGACCTTGCGGTTGAAAACCTAATGTTGTCTGGCTACCTTCTGCCTTGTAGGGATTGGTCGGACATTTGGAAATATGCAATAACAAATTGCTTGTGCCGCTATGCTTGGTATCAGCTACATATTCTTCCGAACAAAACTTGCATCTTGCTTTTTTCACACCCTCGGCATCAGTGAACTTGTCGAAGTAGCGCCAAGCCATTGATCTTTCTTTAACCATTTTTCTTTTCTTCGAACCAGGTTCAGATGCACTGTTGTTGGTTGTTGAATCAGTTGAAGCATTACTTTCACCAACTTTTTCAACCATTTGAAGTTCATTCACTGTCTCTGCCTCGTTTTCCATCTACCAAAGCAAACGAAAAATCAAAATAAAATCAGAAATAGAAGAATAGAAAATGAAAGAGAGATAAAAAATAGAACATAAAGACAAATTGATACATACATACAAAAATTGAAAAAACAGCATGAAAATTCAAAATAAAGATGTTGTAAAATCTCTCTAACTCACACACAAAAAAAAGACACAAAAATACACATTATTTGATTTCTGCCGTGAAATAAAAGGTGGAAAACATCACATTTGAGCTCTAAGAGAGGGGGGAAAGCAACAATGAAACCAATAATAACTAATAGTTAGAGAGAATGCCAGGCTTACCGTCTATTAGGGTTTTGCGTCGTTTGCTCTTGATTGGAAATCGAATGTGAAGATTTGAGATTTGAGCCTTCGAGATTAGTTTTCTACTTCGAGACTTCGAGAGGAGAGGACTGAGATGAAGAGTGAAGAGTGAAGACGAGAGGCGGAAGCTTGGTCGGACTGAGATGAATAGTGAAGAAGAGAGGACTGAGCTGTGAAGAAGAGAGGCGGAAGAGACTAGAGAGGACTGATATCGATATAACCTAGGGTCACTCTGATAAATGAATAAGCGTACTTAACCCTAAAATTTTAGGGTAGTATTTATATATAGGCCCATATAATTTCGGATTTCGGATCGGATCGGATTAAAATCATGCCAATCCGAATCCAATCCGAAAATCTGAAATTTTATAAAACATAATCCGTATCCAATCCGAAATCCGAAATCGAAAATCCGAAATAGAGTGGATCGGATCGGATTTCGGATATCCGATCCAAATGCACAGCCCTACCCTCTTTGGAATATGAAGGTGTTATTGAAAAAAAGAAAAGAAAAAAACAAACAAAAAAAATTTATTTAAAAAAAAGAAAAATATATAGAGAGAGACGAAAGAAAATGAAATAAAAAATGAAAAGAAAAAAAGAGAAAAAGGAAAGGAAAAAGAAAGAGAAAACAAAACAAAACAAAAGAAAATAAAAAAAGTTACTTGAACTACGTTTGACTTGATTCCGAAAATGATACGCAAGCAGCCTCCCTTTGTGGTTCAGTCACACCAAAATAAAAATTCAAATTCCCCCAAAAGTGAAACTGGGGCAGATGTTATAATGGTTCGACGATGGTTTCGCCTGAAAGGTTCCAAAGTTGTAATTCAATCCAAATTCTTTTACCCCAAATCCTGTTCAAGTCCTTCAGATCAATCGGCGAAGAGGTTCAAAATGGGAGGATACAGTTACTTGGACCTAATGCGACCAAATGAGAGAAATAAAATGAGAGAGTCTTATTGGTGAAAACCCTCACAAGCACCGTAAGGCGATGGTAAGTAGAGAAATTAAAATGAGAGAGTCTTGTTAGTGAAAACTCACAAAGAGCACTATAAGACGATGGTGAGAAGAGAAATGAGAGAGGCCAGTTGGTGAAAACCCGCAAAGGGCGCCACTGATCGAAAAAGAGGATTCCCACAGTTACTGGCATCGACAGAGTCCTGGACGAGGTTTCTCGATTTCGAGGCAAAAGTTGTGATGAATTTCTAAGAGTCGGACGGTTTGCACTGATCAGGCATCCAGTCCAATAGGCATGTCATGTTGATTGGAGTCCGCATGTACTCCAGATAAGTCCTTATTTCTTTTCCCCGAAAGGGATACCTCTTGTCTAAATTCATTTGTCTATTCCATTGTTGTTTTTCTTTGAATCCCTTTTGGTCTAACTTTGTTCCGAAACTAAGACGAAGAGGGGATGGTAAGACTGATTTACAGGGTTCTCATTTGATACAAGCAAACATGCAAAAAGGCATCCAGTCTCGGCAGAGGCATTAAGTTGACCCTGACTGGCCATAGTGGCCGATGCTTTGAAATCAAAAACTCTCGAAAGAAGGAAATCAAATGGAAGTGCCTATAAGGGCAAAACGAAGTTGAAAAGGTTGAGTCTCACGTGACTAACCGTCTTGGCAAGGCTTGGAAACCCAAGGATTCCCCAATGATTTGAAGTTAAAAATTGGAAGAAAGAAAGTGAAAGGCCCATGAAGGCAAAATAAAGTCGAAGAAAGGTTGAGTCCCACGCGACCAATCGTCATGGCAAAGTATGGAAAGTCAAAGGTCCTCCGGGATCATATATGAAATTGGTATTCAGAAAACAACCAGTTGCAGTTGAAAGTATCATCAAAGGAGCCAGGCCGAGATCAAGTGACTGAAACAATCAAGGCCACAAAACCAACCACCGTTTCAAACTGACAAATTATTCTTTATTTGAAAACAGAAAAACAGGTGCAGTCCAAAGCAACTTTGCAAGAAGCAGGTGCAACCAAAGAGAAACCCCGCGGAGACTAAAATAGCTTTGTCGCAACAACTTCAAAAAATGAATTCTTCTACAAATTCTTTCCAGCATTTTACTCATTCTCTTAATAAAAAGAAAAAAAAAAATTCAGAATCATGGTAGTATAGGGTCTCCAATCCCTAGCTGCATTTTTCAACATAGGGTCTCCACTCCCTAGTTGATTTTATTTTTAGACATAGGGTCTCTACTCCCTAGTCTCTTTTCCAACATAGGGTCTCCACTCCCTAGTTGAAGTTATTTTAGACATAGGGTCTCCACTCCCTAGTCTCCTTTTCCAACATAGGGTCTCCACTCCCTAGTTGATTTTATTTTAGACATAAGGTCTCCACTCCCTAGTCGCTTTTCCAACATAGGGTCTCCACTCCCTAGTTGATTTTGTTTTAGACATAGGGTCTCCACTCCCTAGTTGATTTTGTTTTATACATAGGGTCTCCACTCCCTAGTTGATTTTGTTTTATACATAGGGTCTCCACTCCCTAGTTGACGTTATTCTAGACATAGGGTCTCCACTCCCTAGTTTCTTTTCTAACAAAGGGTCTCCACTCCCTAGTTGATGTTTATTTTAGACATAGAGTCTCCACTCCCTAGTCTTCTTTTCCAACATAGGGTCTCCACTCCCTGGTTGATTTTTATTTTAGACATAGGGTCTCCACTCCCTAGTCACTTTTCCAACATAGGGTCTCCACTCCCTGGTTGACTTTATTTTTCAGATATATGGTCTTCATTCCTTAGTCTCTGTTTTTCTCAGGGTGCACTAATCCCGACCTTTTATTGTTATCAATAATGAAATAATATAGAGTTTTGTTACAAATAACTTACAAAAGTTTCCTAGTGAAAACTGGGCAGAAAATTTTGTTCGCTTGTTTGTTTTGTTGTCTGAGCAGGTTTTACCTCGAGGCACAAGGTTCGAAATAACCAAAAGAAGAAGTCTCAATTCAGAATAAAAGAAAATAAAAAAGAAGTGAATCTAAAATGCGGAAGCAGATAAAAAGATGTGGACTGCTCAAGACATGACCGAAGTCACGAGTACTGCATTTCCTGTTTTTTCAGAAGAAGCCATAGAAGAATGAACTAGCACATGCAGCTAGCAAGAATCAATGTTCAAATCAAAAGTCTGCATGAAGAACCATTCAAGACTCAAGATCAAGCTTCAGAAGGCTTATAGATAGGAATCTTGTAACTCGTAGCTGATAGGCTTGTTTAATTCCTTTAGATTTTTATTTTGATGTAATAACAGGACCACGGACCGGAGCCTCAACGGAACCTCACTCGACTCTCGAACTTATCGTTCCATTACTCTCCTTGAACTATACGCGGCCCGATTCCATTATAACCCGGGATATGTAGGCTGTCCAAAACCAGGACTCGGTTGCAACTTTTTCTTTTATTTTCTTCCTCTTTTGTACAACGATATGGTCAAAAATTAGTCTCACGACTCACTTTATCTTTGCCTGAAAACTCTTCATGTTTCGAAGCAAAGATGGGCATGCTGTGAGCACCTAATTTTTTACCATAACAGGATTTTTCACCACTTTCTAGTATGTAAAAATTGTTTGAGTTTAATCTACATATGTAGCTTTTGTTTTACCTTTTATAGATTTTTCTTAGGAAATTAAACTCACAAAAGATTCACATTTTTGAATTACTAACTTTGTTTTAATTTGCAAAAGAAAAGAAATATACAAAAATATATTTTTTCTTCTAATTTTGGTAAGGCTAGCAGTTTTATAACTTTTTCGTTAATAGTTTCTTATATTTTTCTAGTTTTTAGTTTTAGTGTAGTATCTTCAATTGATTATCTTTAATAAATAAAGGGGGGGGGGGGGGAATAACCAATGCAAAAAGGCCACCTAGCAAGATTCTTCCATATCTTTTGTAACAAACTCACATGATCTCACTCAAAACTCACATGCACATACACACTCTTATTTTCTTGACCGCCAATTAATCCCTATACCTACACCTATATATCTTCCACTCACTAACACAATTACAAGAACACACACAAACACACAAAAAGGGGAACAGACGGGAAAAACGAGGTGTGACAATAGTACCTATCCGTATACCTAGCAATTATACATTTGACGAATTTGTTGATGTCATCATTAAACATGGAAAACTAACATGTTCCCCGAGAAATTTAAATGTTACATATATGCTTAGCTCTGCGCCAAAGAGGGACAAGATTCCTACTTCCTTCATTATGAATGACAATGATTTGCAATCGTACATCTTTTATGTTACAATTGATAGTATGAGGCCTTGTTTGAAGATATTTGTGGCTGAAAATGAGTTTGAAGAAAGGGTTGGAGTTCCTGTTGAAAGGTTTCATCAAGGTTCAAATGTCGCAGCTGCACCACCACCACCAACAACAACAACACAACCACCAATTTTAGAAGTAGGGGAGGAAAGAATGGTGAAAGATCGCTTTAGTGGATTTAGTGATGACTTGCATGACTTTGATGACAATGAAATGAACTCGTATGGAAGATGCAAATGGAGTGGAAGAGCTCCTAGATATTGTTAGTCAGGCAGCTGGAGATGAAGGCTTAGTGGACTCGTTAGCTACACAACACAACCACCCTGATGGTACAGATTTTTTTCCTTGGGAAATATTTTTGCAACAAATTGGATCTAATGAAACAATTGGAGATTGCTTATGTGAAAATGCATTTTACGTTTCGTATGAGGAAGAGTAGCAGTAAATTAACTTCAGCGCCATGCCGAGGTGTGAGTTGCCCGTGGAAGTTACGCGCTTTAAAGTATGAGAGTTCTGATAGATTTATATTACCAAGTACCATGGCGAGCACACATGCAGGGTACAACGCATATCAAGCCGTCATCCTAACGCGTCGTCGAAGACTTTAGGTGCATATTACAAGGAACGATATGTTAATGGCAAAAGCTCATCCCCGTCAGATCAGAAAGGTGCTATTTTTGCAGATTTTAATCAAAATCTTACTTATTGGAGGGGCTGGAAGGTAGGTGAAATAACTAAGGCTATGATCAAGGGTACTCAGGAAGAGGAGTATGCTTTGTTAGAAGCTTATCGCCATGTTATGATGTCCTATAATGAAGGAAGTATTGTTGATTTGAAGGTTGATGATAAATTGCACTTTAGATATTTTTTTCTTATCTATTGGAGCTTTCATTAAGGGATTCGCGCATATGAGAAATGTTATTGTTGTTAATGGGACATTTCTGAGTGGCATGTATGGAGGCTGCTTGTTGTATGTTGTGGCACAAGATACAGAGAATCATATTTTTTCAATTGCGTTTTGTGTAGTCGATAAAGAGTGTGATGATTCTTAGAGCTACTTTTTTGAAAAGTTGCGGCACATTGTTGACAATAGTGATGAATTATGCATTATCTCTAATCGACATCTGTTATTGGGAATGACTTCAAAAAAGTTTTTACTGCCACTCATCATGGTTTTTGCATGCATCACATTGCTAAAAATATGCACAAGAGGTTTCATTATGGAATTTTTATTAAGCATTTCTTTTCTGTTGCAGTCAAATAGTATTGAGGAATTCTTTGACCATTTTTCAGCAATTGCATGATAAAAGCAGGGAAGTAGCTAACTGCCTCACGAATTAAATTGGGTTCTAAAAGTGGACCAGGGCCTTATTTTTAGGAAACTGATACGGCATGTTGACAACAAACGTTGCAGAATCGCTTAACCCAATGCTTAAGGATCAAAGAGACTTCCCGATCATTGGCCTATTCAATCTTATTATTCGAAAGTTTGCAAAAATTTTGAGGAGCGGCGTAATGAAATGAAAAATATTTTGACCCTCTTTGTTCCTTCTGTTGAAAAAAAGATTAGAAATAATATGGTTGTCGGCGACGCGCTCTGGGTGCATCAATTAGAGAATAACCATTTTAGCATCATCGGACACGACAGGGATGCAGTAGTTGATCTGGATTTGAATACGTGTTCTTGTTGTCAGTTTGATTTGGAAAAAACTCCCTGCCCACATGCAATGGCAGCTCTAAGATTGAGCTTTGGGGATGGATATGGTTCCTCCATTTACGATCACTCCTCTCCATTCTATAAGGTTTCAACATATTTGGCTGCATATGAAGGAACCATTCACACAATCCTTACATAAGAGAAACGGGTAGTGCTTAACGAGATTCAATCCACAAAAATACTTTCACCCGATGTCGAGCCTACAAAGGGTAGAAGGAAGTCTAAGAGATGGCCAAGCATTTTAGAACCTAGTTCTTCTAGCAGCAGGAAAAAAGGCAAAAATAAATGTTCCATTTGCAAAGAACTTGGCCACAAGAAAACGACTTGTAAGTATTGTTGCAACAGTCTTAATCTTTTAGCTACCGGTGTTGTAATAAAGATAATTAACTCTTTAATATTCTAGACTTGTTGTTTTCAATCATTTGTTGTTTCTACTCGACTTGTTATTTCAACTATCAACTGTTGTATTGTACATCATAGACTATTGTTTTATGGTCGACCGCCATCATTGTCTATTGCAGA